CCCCCTTTTGGCCCCGCCCCTCAGCCCCCTGGGGAGTCAGCCCCACCATTTGTACAATTTTTAATCACCACCACCTAGTGATTTTTCCAGTCAAATATGGTTGATATCCACTTCTTGGTTCCAGAGAAGAAGTCGCTTAAAGCAGTATAGCCAAATACCCTTTTTGGCCCTGCCCCTCAGCCCCCTGGGGGGTCAGCCACACCATTTGTACAATTTTAAATCCCTGCCTCCCAGGAACGCTTTTGATGAAATATGATTGATATCCAGTGCACAGTTCTACAGAAGAAGTCATTTGTAGCAATAAAGCCAAATTTCCCCCTTTTGGCCCCGCCCCTCAGCCCCCTGGGGAGTCAGCCCCACAATTTGTACAATTTTTAATCACCACCACCTAGGGATGCTTCCAGTCAAATGTGGTTGATATCCACATCTTAGTTCCAGAGAAGAAGTCGCTTAAAGCAATATGGGCAAATTGACCCCTTAGGGGGGTCAGCCCCACCATTTGTACAATTTTGAATCCCCACCACCTAGGGATGCTGCCAGTCAAATTTAGTTTAATTCCAACTAGTGGTTAAGAAGAAGAAGTCGTTTAAAGAAATTGTTGACGGACGACGGACGCCACGGTATGGCATAAGCTTACCTTGGTCCTTCGGACCAGGTGAGCTAAAAATGTTGAAGTTCCGATTATTCAGAATGCTTCCAAAAGTTCTGTGCATTGACTATGTCTCTTCCGGACATCATTTATGAGAAATAATAAATAATATATAACAAACAAACAGAGTTCTGAGTGTAAAAAAAAATCAACAGAGTCAGACCAGGATTAAAACCCAGGACTTCAGATTGTTATACTATCCCTCTCATCAAAAGTGTCTTGGCCCAACTGTGCTACTGTTATATCCAAACGAAAAGTAAAGGGATGCTACTGTATATACAAAATACACAATGCAGTGGGACAGGGACCCTTAAATGACGACAAGTTGGTTCATTATAACTTACCGACGCCACAAACCAGGACTGACAAGTGTGTGTCCGAATCTCATGGCCGACGACTGAAACTCGTGTGTGATACCAGGATGGATGTTGGGATTATAACCTTAAGAAATTAATTCATCAACATTTATTGACCAAAGTATCAATACTCAATCATAATACCAATCAAAGAATTTATAAGAGAATTAATCAGAGAATCAATTAATACATCAACTTATAAATCAAACATCAAAGTATGCATTAAATATCCATTAAAACATCAAAGTATCAATTAAAACATCAAATAGTAATCAAACAATAATCAAAGTATAGATTAAACATCAAAGAATCCATCAAATATCAGCTAAAACATCAATCAAAGTATTCATTAAAAGGTCAATTGAAATATCCATCAAAGACTCAATTATAACTAATATTCTATAATTAAACAACTGTATCAATCAAAGTAATTATGAAAGTTTGGTTTGGTTTAATTTTGTTTAACGTACGTCCTATTATTAGCTAAGTAAGGTTACTCGACACATCGTCATCAGTGGCCATTTTCCTGGCGTACTTCCGAAAAAAGTACAGCGGACTGAATAATTCCAAGCGAAATGTGCCCATACTCTGTAAAAACTCTCCAACTTTGAAAGTACAAAAGCATACTCAATCACTTGAACGCTTTACATTAATGTCGTTTTCGCCAATGGTTTCGAAGGACCGTAGAAACCCTGATTGTGTTACGTTGCTAAAGAAAACGTCAAAGATTAGGTCTAGAAATGGACAGAGATAGCCACGGCAAATTCACTTCAAGAAACAATGTCAGTGAACTAAACAATAACCATGTGCACCATGACCAATTGCATACAGTAAATGTAAGTTTGTTCATCATGCCAGTTATCGAGACAGTAATACCAAAATACTGGTCCATTTCATACTTGCACATAAAGCAAACAAACTCTGGAAAGTTAAACCTTTTGTGCTTTTGTTTATATAGAAATGATCGATAGGTACATGGTTGTGCTATTTTGATATCACTGGGAAAATATTATGAAGCAGTCGAAAATTATATTAACTCCAATAATGTGATTTACAAATACGATACAATCGCTGGAGAATGACATCATGTTAGATATTGTATTGTGTATGCATTTGTTCCATGTTAATTGTTTAATGTTCAATACTACATAGATCTAGAGTTGATAAACCCAGTATTTATCTAATAAGATAAGCATACATTACTGTGGCAATATCACCTATTCTACACATATTTGAATGCAAATAGAAATTATATATGTCAGGTGTCCATTGATTCAGGGATTTATACATTTATTTTAGATGATTATCCAACTGATAATTATGTAACGGATGATGAAGAAGATGATGATGATTATTCTGATGAAAATGGTACCAGCAGTGCTGACAACATCTATGAAAACAATAATGTTGATGAAGGACTTTGTTCAAACAAAAACATTTTTGAAGGAAGACGTGTGGTGGAGCTAGCCATATTAGCCACAAATTTAGACAAAGGATGCTCATTTTGTCATCAACCCCTCCGTCTGTCAAGTTGTGTGAACGAAGGACGTTATGGTATTGGAAGCCTACTTAATAAAATGCTGTAGATGCAACCATATCACATATGTTGCAACAGGCAAAAGACATGGAAGTAATATCTGGGATGTCAACACAAAATTAGGTGCAGGTATGTTAAATACATGTATGTAAATTTATTCATGTAAAGTAGAGAAATAAATGTTAACTTGTAAATTTGTATATGCTAAAACATGTCAAAAAAAAATATTTTCTAATTTTTTTTTACCAGTAATATGTTCATAATATATTAAGAATATGAATGTGATTTATTTTTTTGTTTCATTTAAAGTCCTTCTTTATTGTGGAAAACTACAATCAACAAAATTCTTGCTGCTCTAAACCATTCCCAAGATTTCATCAACAACTTTAATAGGAGGGAGAGAGAAGCAGGAACAGCTTTGGAATCTGTGGCGGAGACTACATGTGATGAAGCCTTAGAAAAGGAGCAACATAGGCAAGAAGGTTCTCATTTAATGATAAATCAATTTCCACAAATGGTATTCAATATTAGGAAGGTGAGGGCTGTACATGTTTTATGTTGTTATTTTTTTGTATAAATAGAGGATTGGCATGTACGTGTAGTAAGGACATTACGGTGTTATTCCAAGCTGCTTCCCTGTTACTAGTACTGTGTGCAATTTATATCTGATGTTTATTGTCTCCCTTTTCAGTAACAGTCAAAATGGTCAACACATAGACAAATCTGTATCATCCGATGCATGGTACGTGGCAAACACGTGGGAGTGGCAGAAATTAGGCAAGTCTCTCTGGTAAAACCAAAACATAATATATTTAACACAGTTTTTATGTAGTTTTAATACTTTTTCATATTTCAATAACATTGAATTTTAAATAAAGGATCTTACATAATTTGTGTGATTTTATTAAAAATGAAAATTTAGCAAAATTATGGGTTGATGGTATTCTCACTATGTTCTTCATGTATTTCCCAAGTTCTGTTTATAGGGTTTCTAATGGCTACATTTATTTGTAGGACATGGATCTATGAAAGGAGGAGAAACAGGAAAAGTTGTTGCTTACGCAGTTAGGTGCCACTTTTGTAATATTGCTGCTAGAACAAATACCGATGTAACAGAACATGATTGTAAAAAGAATTGGTCGTCATCATCCAAGGCAATGGAAGCTGACATGGCGGTAACTATGCTGTAAGACCTAGATAAGAAGGGCTACCATGTTGACAACATAGTGATGGATAACGATACAACTACACATGCTAAAGCAAATACATCATTTGATCTATTACTCAAAATATCTTCAGATTTCAATCACACACAAAGAAATATTTCACTAGTAAGCTTTATGAACTGAAAAACGAGAAAAAATACACTCTCTTGGGCCTAAAGACATTTAAGTAAATGTTTTGCATATGCTGTTAAATCAAATACAATGTACAGACAATCCTGAGAGTTTAAAATCTGGACTAAAAGCTATAACATCTCATGTGTTTGGTGACAATCAAATGTGCAACAAAGAATAGTGTCGGTATAAGGAAAAAACAGATACATATAAACCAACACATTTACCATATGGAAAATATTTGACACTTTTTCAAAAGGAAGTGAAAAGATTTGTAGAGTTTGAAGTACTCAAAGCAACGAAAGCTTCAACAGGAATGTGGCCTCCAAACACCCAAAACCTCATTTTTATGCAGCATCACACTGAGAATCACTTAAGAGCGAAAAAATCAATTCTACGACTTAATCTACCTTATTATACCAGTAAACTTCAATTAGCATTGAATTTTACAAAACACAATCTAAATCATAAATTCATGACCGAACTTCATGACGTACCAGCTAAATAATCTATGCATGGCTAACTTGATGATGTACAATCTAAATCATATTTGCATGGCCCAAATTACGGAAACACTCTCCAAATTAGCGGAGCACCATTTAAATTTAAAAACCATATCCAAGTTGTCGGGACATGGACCAGTTTTCAGGAACAACAACCAATTTTCAGGGACAACAACCAATTTTCAGGAACATAACAATTCAATAAGATTGTGCCTTTGTTCCCGAAAACTGGTCGTTGGCCCCCGAAAATTAAGTCGTTGTCCCGCTCACTCGCACAGCGGTATTCCCTTTGATGTAGCCGCGCTCCGGCGAAGCCCGTACAGGTGAGGCAGTCTATAGTCCCTGCCTTGCTGGCCGTGTTGTCGGTATAGCTATGCAAAGACGGTCGCTCTAATTCCGTAATCAAAACGATATAATAACACAGGTCGATAGTACACTTATATTTACTTCGAATGAAATAAATAAAGACCAAGGAAATAATGCTTATTTTGTACTACGGCCAGGGTTAGGATCGAAATGAACGACCATTTGAGAATAATGCATAACTTTTACCGTATTGCTGAACTGGTGCTTTGATACATCACTCCAGGGACACATGAAGCCAGTATATACGTCTCTGATCACTCATATAATAATCAAAGACACAATATGAACTCTCAATATTAACGATATTTAATGACGAACGATAAGTACGTCCCGATGTCGTATACAACTTATATTACGTAAACTATATCCCCCGGCTCCGTTCGGTCCGAGGTACTAGTTGTCCAGTATTTATTGATAAACTCGTGCAAATGATGAACCGATTGTGTAAATGTTCATAAACGAACCACTGTATATATATATATATGTTAAGACAGTTTACGTTCCTATTTTGCTTCATATACCTTTCAATCGTTTTTTATGTTGTTAATAGTTTTGTGATTTATATAATCCTCTTAGTAAGGAGATTCCCGATCACCTGTCCTCTCAGCTTTTAATTTCTATTGTATTTAACATAAATGTATTTTATTCATATTTTGGTGTTTTTTTAATCATTACTGATATAATTTCAATTAAATGGAACTTTATCTTTCCTGTACTGTCGTAAGAATATCCCTTCTGATTTAATGTTTCATGTTATAATATTTAAGGTTGAACTTTCTATTTAGTTTAGGTTATCGGGTGATAAAGAAAAAATAATTTACCCGGGTTCCATTGTAGTTATCACCCGATAACCTAAATTGAATAGAAAGTTAATCCTTATATTTATAGCCTTTTTCTTTACATAAAACGCGTCCATTTATGTCATCAAAGTAAACGTATGTAAATGAACACACAATCCAGCCGTCCTGTCAGTCAACAACGTGACGTCATCGGAATGTATGAATTTCAACAATGTATGTTTACATTTCAACAATGTATCTTTTGCATGAATACACTAATGAGTTACACATCTGGTATCCGAGGTACTCCTGTTAACTTCCTAAAACAGCAATGTAAGCTCCCGGGTTGTTGAAACTTCGAGTGATAATGACAATGATCTCCACAAAGGCTTTCATTAGAAAAAATACCATTTAAGTTACGTACACTTATGTGTTTAAAGTGAACGAAATTTTCGAAATATCTTGTTTCTTTATTCATTTAAAGCGAACTTAACCATTTCAGAAAGATAATGTGCATCCGTATGTCAGTTATCAAAACTGTATAAAGTAAAGAGAGAAAAAAA